TTCGTTATCCACGTGGATTGGTAGGGTGAAATAATGCTAACTCAACTCATTCTGTTAGTCTAATCAGACGGTTAGTTAACACCGTTAAAGCATGGGACGAAATTGGATATTTCGTGTATTTCGATAGTTGTGGATATATTTGTCACAAACTTGATAGTAATGGATATACAACTGTATTTTGCCAAATATTAAATCAATTTGTATGACTTGCAAACTTGTTATGTAATTAATCATAATTGGTAAATTATTATAGCTAATAGTAATGGTGATATCAATATTTGCAACCAAAAGACACCATTAATTGTTTATTTGATATTTTAGTATTAATTCAGTAGTAATTGGATTAAAGTATCTCGTTTAGTATAATCATGCAAATCTGGTATTTGGCGTGTGGTATTTGGCAAAAGCATAGTGATAAAAGGAATTATTTCGAAATAACTCATTGCACAAATAACTTCAGTAAACTGTTGCCAAACGAGTTATTTGTAAAATTGTTCGAATTATCCTAACAATTGAACCATTAAAGATTAGCTATCAAATTTAGTAAAATTATTGTGACTTCAATCATAACTTACTCAATAGCATATATCCTATACACTTGGTCTTACCCTCAATCAACAATATTAAGTTACTATATGTTGTTGATTGTATACCCTAAACTATCAATACATTATACACTAACCACATAACTTATACCCTATACCCTAACCATATGTCCTTGAGTTGTGATTTTGTTAGTATAGTTAATTTAAAAGTGAAATTCATAATTTTATTTTCAAAACATAGATAAAAAGTGATATTTGCTAATTGTTATACCCTAACCATATATCATATACTTCACCACATACCTTATACCCTAACCACGTACCATAAACATAAATTAAAAAGGGATCTCCTGCCGTTAAAGACTTCAAATGACTTCAAGTGAACATATGTTAATAAAAAAACTTAGAACCGTCAAAACCATCAATATCTTATACCCTAACCATATACACCCTAAACCATATGTACCTTATACCTTATACCTTATACCCTAACCATATACTTTATATCCTAAACAACGAACCGTCAAAGATTACTTATCAAGTTTAGTATAAATTATTGTAACTAATGGTTAATTTATTTATTAGCCCATAAACAATTACATATATATATATATTAGCCTTCAAAGCATATAAGATTAATTTTAACTAGTCATGCCCTCCATATAAAAGTTAAAGATTCATATTTCAAAAGCTAAAATTATGAAAAACCAAAAAATTGAAAACACCAAATATGTTTCCTTCTTTATTTTCACAAAAATACTAAAATTTCCCTCCTTCTTTCTCCTTCCATACATTAGAAAAACTCAATTTTCCCTCATCTTTCCCTTCCATAAAATTGAAAGAACCAAATTACCCTCTTCTTTCATTCTACAAAAAGTTGAAAACTCAAAAGTTTCCCTCCTTATTTCTCTTTCATAATTAAAAGAATCAAACTTTCCCACTTCTTTCTCTTCCCACATATCAAAACCACCAAAATTCCCACTTGTTTCTTTTCTAAAAAATTCAAAGAACTAAATTTCCCTCTTCTTTCTCTTCCCAAAAAGTTGAATACACCAAAATTTCCCTCTTCTTTTTAAAAACATCAAATTACCAAATACATTACATTACTTTATATTTAATTGATATTTTTATTGAATAGTTAAATTAACCAAAATTTTAATTTATATATTATATTAATATTGTCATGATCTCAAGTGACCTTCATGTTTCAATTTTTATAATTTTCTTAAAATACGTAATATCAAGTGAGTTTCATATTTTTTTAAATTTCCTATACCAAATGAAAAAATAATTTTACTTAAGTTTAGAATGAAAAACTTTATTTTGAAAAACTATGTATTGTATATTTTTATAATTATTCAAGTGGATTAGATGAAATTCGGGTTGAGTCGGTCGGGTTACGGGGTAGTCGGGTTTGGGTCAATTGGGTTCGGGTTAATCGGGTTGCGGGTCAGTCGGGTTGCGGGTCAGTCGGGTTGTGGGTCAATCGAGTTGCGGGTCAGTCGGGTTGCGGGTTATTTGGGTTGCGGGTCAATCGGGTTGCGGGTCGGGCGGGTTACGGGTTGTTGATTTTTAGTCAATTCGGGTTGCGGTCGGATTGCGAGTCGGGTTGATCGGGCAGGTTAATCGGGTCGGGCTATGTTTTGACACCTATAGTCACTCAACAGTGATTGAACTTATTTTTTTTATTCTAAAGACGATTGTTGTTCTTGAGCCCCTGCTACCAAGGCGCCTTCCCTTCCAACTCCAGTGCCTCCGAGGTCAATCATCAGATTGGAGGCGACAGTGCAGGTGGGATCGAGTTTATGGCGGTGGCAGATCACTCGGTTGAGTCGGTGGCGGCCAACAAGCTGATATTCTGGAGTCGCAACAACAGTTGTCCTTTGGGTTTACCAATCATATATCCCGATTAGCCCACTACAAAAAAAAAGAGTTTTGCCGAGGGTTATGTACCAAGGGTGCATTAAACCCCTGCTAGTTTTTTCGGAACTTACTGTCTCAAGGGTTTGTTTCAGGGGTTCATAAACCCCTGCTATTAATTTAACTAATATCTCCACAAATCGGGAAACCCTCCACCGCAACAACAAACTACTCGTCACCTCTCTATCGAACAAAAGCCCCAATTTTCAGCTCCTCCGCCAAATTAAAACAAAATTTTCTCTCTCTCTCTCTCTCTCTCGCTCACTCCCGTGGAATCAGTGGCGATTCTCCGACCTCTCTCTCCCTCGATCCGGTGACGCTCGCTCACTCCCGTGGAATCAGTGGCAATTCTCCCATCGCTCTCTCTCGATCCGGCGAAAGGCGGTGGAAATTCTCTGATTCTTCGACTCTATGATACGGTTCTTTCTCACTCTCTCGCACTCTCTGTCTCTTGCTCTCTGTCTCTCTCTGTCTCGAGCGCGCGTGAGCTCTCTGCCTCTCTGTATGATGATTCATAAGTGTTGGTTTCTTCGCTTGCTACTTTGTCTCCATCGCTAGGAAGTAGGAGCGATGAAGTTGGCAAGACGGATGTTAGATTCAGCAGCTTGAATTTGAATTCCAAGTTCTTTTCTCGTTTGTTTGATGTTTTCCCTTTTAGATTCGCTTTACTTTATCTAGTTCTTGGTTCAATTGTTGTTATGCTTTTGGCTCGTTCCTAATTACTTGCTACGGATCTAATGGTGTTAGGAGAAAATGGAGTAATTCTCCTTAATTCGTTTCTAAATTTGTATTGTTGTTGTTGGAAAGGTATGAGAGTGCTGATACTTTGTGTGACTAATGAATTGGAGTCATCAATTGATAGTGGTCTCAAATTCTTCCTAGCGGTATTGAATTTGAAATGTTGAAGTTGTTATCTGGGGAAGAGTAATTGTCCTTGTCTTCTACCTTCGTTTTATTCTTCATAACACAGCCTTTTGTCTTATATATTCATGCAGGGGTGATAGATTGACGCTTAATATCAAGTATATATGGATGAATTTTGTTGATTAGTTGTGGCTGAGAACTACTCAAATTCGGTGCTTGACTAGAACAGAACAAATACTCCAGCATTTCCCTTTTGAACCTTGGTAAGTGTTTCAGCTCTTGTATTGGGGTGATTAATTGGTTTAAGATTGCCCGTTTTCTGTTTGTTCTTAAGAGGTCATGATCAAGTTTCAGATTAAAGTTGTAAATTTAATAATTTATAAATACTTATAAGTACTTTGGTTTTGAATGGAACTGGTTTCTACAAATGGTTAAGATATGATACTTATAAATACTTATAAATACTTAAAGTAGATGCCTGGCTAATAGCTTGTCGCTGATTGCATCATTTGTGGGTAGACTTGCAAATTGCAATGGATAATGATGTTAGTTGCAAGCATGTTGAGCAGATGGTTTATATTGGCCAACATTATAAGTCAGATGAGGTTTTGGTTTCTAGTCATCATTCATCGGCATTTCACTTCTGTTCGTTGAACTCTAAACGGTTAAGTACGGTATTCAGATTATGCATGTTGTATCGCTAATCGTTATGCAGTCTATGCTACTTGTTTGACATTTTTGAACCTTGATAATTAATCTCTTTTGTAGATTATTGATGATGTGGAGGCTATTCTTTCAATTTATCAGGTGCAAGACTTTGTGTCTTGCATCTGATTGTTTAAAATTATGTAAGTGGAACAGCTTATTAGATGCTTGCAAGCTCAGGATGGAGATGTAGTGGGAGAGGAAGTGCCTGCAAACCAAAGGCTATTTTCCAGCTCTTGAATCAGGTAATTCTTTTGACATGTGGTTTATCAGATGTTGTAATCATTAGTAAACCTGTAATGTATCTCTCAATGGGCTTAATTAGTTAATCATTGGGTAAAACAAGCTCTCAAGTAGTTTAGCATATTTGGATTATGAATTTGTATTCGCATAGGTGGTTAGCCTTTCTGGAATCCTCTTGGTGTTTTTCTGCATAATTGTCGTTTCAACTAGTTGAACATTGTGCCATTATTGTAGTTTTACATTTCTGATATATAGTTAATTCGATTATGCAATATTGGTATATATGATGTACCCTTATTGCTGGATACAGTGACATAATTTACTTTTCATCAAACTATTGAAGCTCTTTCAGTTGTTCCATAACCCGAGCTGGCATTGAGGTTTTTCAGTCTCGTATTACTTCTTTGATAAATAGTGGAAAATTTATAGATGAACGCGTTGTTCACTCCATTTCTTCCTGGTTTCTTATTTATGTAAATTTTTTGTTATAATCAGGCAGCTAATGACTGCGAGCTCGAGCAATTGCGGTAATCAATTACTCTCTTGATCAGTTCCTTCAACTTAATTCTCTGAATTAAGAATTCATTGAGATTGGTTCCTTAATCCCCTTACCGCTGAAGATCCTTTTTTCTCTTGCAAATCAGGATTCGAAGGCTCAGGTGACTGCTATACATCTAATTGTTGGAACTCTCCAGAGGATGCTAGTATTCGGAATTGAGAACATGGATACATTAACTCACAAGGCCACCGGAGTAAGAACCATCAACGCTTTCCTTCTCAGTAACTTGTTCCCTTTATTATACTAACAAACCCCGTGAATAACTTGGCTCTTCTTTCTTTTTGCAAGTATTCTGCAAAGCTTTTGAAGAAGCCTGACCAATGCCGAGCAGTTTACGCCTGATCCCACCTCTTTTGGGTTGATGACCAGGCCTGGAATCAAGGATGGAGAGAGGTCCTTTTCAGAATCTGTATTTTCATCGGACTTAATATTCAACTGAACAACTCTAACTCTGTTTGGCTCGTAATTTGTAATCTCAAAGTCATGTTGTGCCTAAAGCGGGGCTTGAGGATCGCAAATGCAGCCTTGACCCCAGCTTTGGAGTTGACATCGTCGTTGGTCAGGCTAATCTTTCCTGTGTTGCTGCAGGTACCTCTACTTTTTCGAGAAGGGCAATCTGCAGATTACAATCAATATGATCCAGGATCTGGTTGAACTAATAACCGACGAGATGCAAAGTAACTTTGTGTTGCAGATCCAGCTTCCGATGCTTTCTTCGCCAGCACACTCCGGTACATCCGGTCCCAGAAACAGAAAGGTGGTAGTATAGGTGAGAAATTCGAACCAATTGTTGTCTGATTTCTCACATAAGCAAAAGGGTATCAGTTTGGTCTCATTTTCTTGAATCGGGTTATAGAAATGTGTATTGTAGCCTGAGTGCAACATCATTCTCAAAGTTTGTATTGCAAATTATTTACATAGCCGGTTCTTTGTGCAGCTCGAGCAAGTGGAGCTTTTGAGTACATTAAGAATGCTCTCAGGTATCTGTTTTTGATGAGTAGTCTTCCTTTTATATTTCTTGGAACCAATTCAATTTCTAGTTGCAGTTTGATGTACTAAATAATACTTTAAGCTTTAAGTTGTCTCATGTTAGATGCTCCTAATGTATCTCAGGGAATGGAGGGTGTGATTATGAATTTCATAAAGAGCTCCAGGTATCAGGTGAGGAAGCGCATAGAGCTTCTGTCCAGAACTTGTAAAAGAGGGAAGATATCTCATGGGTATTTTCTTTTGGCTTTGAAGAGTAGATCATTAGGTTCTTTTACTGCTACTATGTTTCTTTGGATGATTCTTTGATATTTATGGTAATTAACATTTAGCTATGTAAACAATATTATATTGAATCATGAATCATGGTATGAATGATGTAATATATATACAAAAGTTTGCCAGCAACAAGTTTGGTTGTAAGTTTTCCTATAGTAACCAGAGTATTTGTAACCAACTTAGAATCCAGTGTTAGGGTCTTCTTAGTGACCATACTGAGTTGGTTGCAAATCAATTAGTCACGAATAAAGCAAGGGTTTTAACCCTTGCTAGTGTTGGCAACAATTTGAATTCTTATAGGTCTCTCTTTAGTGACCATAATAAGCTCGTTGCAAAATTAATTAGTCACGAGTTAAGCAAGGGTTTGAAGCCTTGCTAGTTTTAGCAACAAATTTTCCAAGGGTTCAAACCCATGATACAGAAATATTTCTATTGGGTTTTACATTTCAGTGTAGCAAGGGTTGTAACCCTTGGTATATGTAGCAGGAGTTAAAACCCCTGCTACAACCCTTGGAGGGGACTTCCATCGTGGGTTGCTAAAAACCCTTGCTACGTGTAGCAAGGGCAGCATTGGTGAGGGTTCGTCCAGGGGTTGGGAAAATCCTTGCTACAACTTGTAGCAGGGGTTATAACCCTTGCTATAGGTCAAAAAAACCCTTGCCATAGCCCTGTTTTTTTGTAGTGGCCCTTTTCCTCCTCCCACCAATAAATCCGTGGAGGTCATCGTCGTTGTTGAATTCGATTGATCTAAGAAGCTCTCTAATACTTCAGACTAGCAGAGTGCGGATCAGTGTATTGTTCCCATTATATTTAATGAAGATTGAATTTGTTAAGAGAGCTCTATGGGAGGAAGGTCAAGAGAAAAAACGGACGCCAATATTTTTCTCTCTCTAACTCCATCTATAATTCTCTCTCGTTGTATCTCTCTATCTAATCTTCTTTTTATCGCTAATTAGCAAGGTTGTTCACCCACGGGTCGACCCCTGGGTTGATCCACTATGACCCTGGCCCGGTAAGAAAAATGGGTCGCACGCACCTGCCGGGTCGACCGCTACAAGGTGTCGGGTTGGAGGTCAAATTGTGTCATTTTTTCTCTTTGGTTTGCAAAATGCGCCTATTTTTCGATTTTTCTTTTCGCCTAACTCAATTTTTGGAATCTTTAGTTGAACATTTGAATATTGAGGTTGTATAAGTGTGTGTGAATTTTCACTATATGTTGGATCTAAGTACGACATGTTACTTTGGTGTGATTTTATATGTTATTACTTATATGCTAGATGAGATTTGATATAATTTATCAAGATAAGTGCAATATAATGACTCTTTTCATATTTCCGGGCTAAAACCGGTGACCCATTCACCCTTGACCCACTAGCTCGACCGGGTCCGGGTCAACTCGCGGGTTGACAACCTTGCTAATTAGTAATTTCCAAGACTTCCTTTGATTAATTCTGGGCAACATATATTTGACGTAGTGTAGAAATACAACTAATTTTTGCATCTGCCATTGAATTAGACTCAGATTGAGAGAGGGAGAGAGAGCTGATATGGAGAAGTCGTCGAAGAAAGAGCAGGGGAGCGGCGGATAAGAGGGGTACATGTAGGGATGGCAATGGGGCGGGTTTGCCTAAACCATCCCCATCCCCATTTTTCAAATACCCAAACCCATACACACCCCATACCCATGCGGGGGAATGTTTTGCAAACCCATCCCCATACCCGTGGGTTTCGGGTACCCATGGGTAATACCCATTCCCGTACATCCAACATTATTATACCTAAAACTTACAAGAAAAGTTTTAATTATAACCATAAACAAACCTATTATATCATGAAGTCAACAAAACACGGTCATTTTCTAAATACGATTCAAAGAATATGATCCTAAAACATCCATTAATACATAATATAGACTATAATATTTTTTAAATTATTATGCTCTAACTCTTGATACATTTACAAAGTAATAATTAACTAACATAATCTTGTTGACAAGGGGAAAGTGAAAGAGTGGAATGAGAATTGAGGGAAATGAATTAGGTTTTGATTAAGGTGGTTACTCAATTGCATTTCTATTATTTATTTTCTCGAGTTATCATCATCATCATTGATAGATTACAATTTAATCCACATATTTTTTTATATGTGAAGAAATTCTCTTGGTGGGGCGGGTATGGGTATGAGTATGGGGCAGGGGAGGCTAAAACCATACCTGCCCCATACCCATCAAGCTTTTTGCGGGTTTTACCCATACCCGCCCCATACCCGGTCAAAGCGGGGATTCCCCGTGTTGACTGGGTCGGGGTGGTCGGGTACCCGCAGCCATGGGTTTGATTGCCATCCCTAGGTACATGGGAAAGGAAAAATAAAGATAATAAAGTTATTTTATGTTTTTGCAGTAAATAATTATTTAACAAGTGAGGGGTAATTTGGTCATTTTATACCTTATTTAACGGTCAATTAACAGAATTTTGGATGGAAGGTTGCGTTAGTTACATTTTGATAATAGAGAGTTATGTTTGTGCGAAATAATAGTAGAGGGAATAGTAGAGGGTACAAAATGTTATTAAAAAAAAACTAAAAAAAATGAGTTACCCAATTAGGAAATGATAATATTAAAGCAAAAATAATGAAAATGTTGATAATCCTCAAATTTAAAGATGAAGGTTCAGGTAATCAAAAAGAGGAAGGTTCCCCAAATTTGCAAAATAGCATTGAAGTTGGTCTTAGCAAGTAAATTAAGAGAAACGAACAAACTCCCCGCGGGGACGGATACGGTGACAACCAAGGGTGTTTTGGGTATGAAAAAAAAGAATTTATTAATTACCTTTTTTGTATTAATTATATTGGGAATTAAAAACCCATATTAAATACAATTTTTTTTTAAAATTTAAATCCTATACATTAATATCTCTATCTATCTCTCTCTCTTCCTTTCTCCAGGCCACTCCGCATCGACGGACAGACTTTTTCTCCAGCAGACTCCCTCCGGCAACCTGAAAAAATGTACAGTGCGTTAAAAAGTGTACCAATCCATTATTCTACTGGTAATTAATATACCAGTGCTAGTGGTACGCTACGAGTGCGTTAAAAAATGTACCAGTACTAGTGGTACGCTACCATTACAGCGCTATCACTACCATATTGTATCGTACCACTAGCACTTGTAGCGCTACCACTAGCATTGGTAGCGGTACCAGTAGAGAATAACAAAAAAAAAAAAAGATGATAGTGGTACGCTACCACTACCAGCTACCTTATGGTAGTGGTAGGTACCACTATCACTGGTACGCTACCAGAAGAAAAATGGTACCACTAAAAAACCAGATCTAGAAAAGGGGAGTCGGTGACGGGAGAGAGAGGTATGGGAAGATGGTGACCTCACGATGGCGGCAGTGGTGGGGGACGAAGGGCGGCGAGAGGGCTCCGACGGGGAGAGGATGATTGTGCCGCGGTGGTGGGAGGCGGACGTTGCGACGGGCCGGCGGGAGAGATTTGCAACAACAGGGTGTGGAGGGAGGCTGAGGATGGTGGAGACGACGACAGTGGAAGGCTCGACAGGCGGCTACAGGAAACAGGGGCGCCGACGTCGGCGGTGGAGGGCTGTGACGGCGGAGGGCTCTGCGAGAGAAAGGGAGGAGAGACGGTGATGGCTAGGGAGAGAGGGAGGAGAGAGAGAGAGAGAGGGAGGATGGAGGAGTTAGGGTTTTTTTTTCTTTTTATATGGTAGGGTGAATGATTGGGTGTGGTAAATTTTTACCCTTTCAAAAATAACCTTCCTTTAATCTTAACCGTTAATTTAAGGCTAAATTACACGTTTGGTCACTTAAATTATACAAATCTTTCACGTTTGCCTCCCGAATTACTTTTCTTTCTTATTCGCCACTAACTTTACGAATCGTTTCACAGTTGGTCACCGGCCGTTACACTCCGTTAAGTTTGTCCTACGTGACAGTCAACTATAAAGTTTGACCATTGACTAGATGACGTGGAAATTAAAAATAATAAAAATTTCTTTCCACCTCAACATTGCACTTATTTTGTCTATATAATTTATCATATTAATAATTTAATAAATTACAAAAATGGACAAATCCAAATGCTCATCATCCTCCTCCATCGACACGACAATAGCGTCCCTGCCGCCGCCGCGGCCAAACTAGCAATCCGGGTCTCCACCAACCCGGCCAGCTCACTAATCCTCGAACTAATCTGTGATTTCTCGAGGAACTCCTTCTCCAAATGAATCACTTGCAGATTCTTCAACAAACCCTCGTCCCCAATATCTTTACTTTCGAGTACCCTTTTGAGAACTTCCTTAACGACCATTTCGGGCTCCGATTCCCCTACCAGAACAGGGTTCCGCTTCCTGCTTCAAGGCAGGATGTCCATGACCCGATTCGCTTCCTCGCTACGCCCAACTGCCCTACTCCTCCACCCGCCGCCGTCGTCCCCTGCAACCTGGGATTCGCGTACAAATTTCGGTTCCCCGTCACCGTGGGA